AAAAACTTAAAAGGATGGCAAAATAACTAACACAGATTGTTCAAAAAGAAACACTTCATTTTCTTCAAAAAAAAACCAGCTAGTCGGGACTATATAATCGGAGGTCACAAGTCGAGCCAAACAAAAGACAAAGAAGTAGCATCCGAATCTCGACACATTTTTGTGTTATGTTTTACGATCATTGGCCAAATAACGGATCCTCTCCCGAGCGGTAGACCGCCAAAAGCTTCTCCACATAAAAATTAGCGAGCTTTCTGCATACGCCAATGGCCTCAGGACGACGCATTTTCACTTGAGAGACCGATTTCCTTAGCCTCAGCTCCTTATCCCCATCAATTAGATACTCAGCCAAAGCGCATCCTCTGAAGAATATTTAACAAATATGTAATAAAAGGAATTAGAACAAATATGTATAACGGTGTTTTTTAATACCTTATAAAATCGACTGGGCTAAATCCTCCGTTTTTGGAAATATTTGAACGACCCTTCAGTTTCATATGCCGTCTATACAGAGCACACACGGCTTCCATACAAAACTGATCGTCCTCTTGAAAGGCGCGCAACATATCAGCTTCGTAATTAAATTTTCTTCCAAGTTTATCACTTTTAAGTTCTGCACTGAAGTTAGTATCATATTTCAAATCTGCACGAATCACATTATTTAGGCCATTATTAAGTTCGCGGACAGGAGTTTGAGATTCGAATCCTGGTGGGCCCGACCAGACTTCTTCAATTTCAATAGACAAACTACAGTCGATTTCATCACGAGCTGATTTGAGAAATTCATTTTCCAATTGGCTCGTGCGCATTTTTCCTTTCTTTTCCACAGTCGAATTCGGAAGTAAGTCATCAGTGCTCTCTGTTCGGCTTCTCTTACTTCTCTGGCCACATGACGGGATTTGAACAAATTTGAGGTTGTTTTCTCGCACGTTCGAACCTACGTCTCGATTCGAAGTATCAGCAGTCTCTCCATGAGGGGTGGCCTCGTCATCACTATCCATTATGCCGACGATATCTCCAGAAAAACGGGCAGTTTTATGAAAACACGGCCCGTCTCGAGATATTGACCGTGTTTCACTAGCACCTGCAACACACCACATGCATTTTTATTAGTTTTGCAAGATGGTCAATAGTAAAGTTAATGATGCACTCGAGATAAATAACTTCAGATTTCATGTATGTTAGTGTGAGTGTAAATTTAGATCGTGAATTCTTCTTTATTTGTTAGTAGGAACAGAACCTTTGTTTGCAGTTGTGTTATCTTTACGATATATATGTTTCGAATTAAAGTAAAGTCCACTCAATAGATCACAGAAAAAAAAGAAATAATTTATTATGAAATGTTCTGCTGCTACAAATACAATCCCCAGTTACATGCACAAATGCAGAAGCTGGTACCAAGCATCAGAAAAAAAAAAAAAAAAAAAAAAAANNNAAAAAAAAGATGGACAGTGGTAATAATATGCATAATGTTGTGATTTCATTTAAAACAATAGTAGATATTGCTTCTGAAGGGCCCTGTCGTAAATTCATATAAACTTATACGAGCCTCAGCTACACGAATTTCATACTTCTTGGAAGCAAATTCGAGTTGCCAGTGAGAGAGATTCAAGACGATTCAGGAAGGTGATTTAGGCTATCATAAGTTCTTATGGGACTAAGATCTCATACTAGTCATTTTCAGTCAATTTATAAGAGCAACAATGGTTTTCAAAAGAAACCTGAACTCACTAACTAATGAAAAGAAAAGAACACCAGACTTTCATGCACACATCTCGGTTTTGATAAAGAAGAAAAAGAAAAAGAAATTGGCAACAATCATATTATATCGTACCGGAACCCCTTGGCTCTCTATTTCGATTATCTTTGAATATATCAACTTGGGTCCACGGCCGAGCCAAGCATCCATCACCTGCAGGCATGCACATTACGTGTGCTCTTGTTATGGTAAACAATCGGAAAACTTGTCATAAGTCCACGAAATATCTTTCAGAATAGTTTCATTTTCTCTAGAGCAATTATTTATCATGACACTACACACAGACAACTCCGCTCTGGTTTCTTCTATAAAAGTATAAGAACTTCAACTGAAAGTCCATGAAAAGTGATCTCAACAGTGAACATCATCAAAATATATCTCAGTAAAAATATTAGACCTTAGGTAAGCAAGCATTAATAAGCTGAAATTCAACAGGTAGCATTAAAGGTTATCACATGACAAAATTTCAAACTTCCCAACTACATTACCTTTCTTCGAAGGTTCACAGCTTCTTCTACTGCCAGTAGAATTAGCCGAAGGCACCTTTCGCGAAAAACCGGATACATTTATTAAGCCATCGTTTTTTTCCTTGGAATTAGAAAGCTCCAATTTTTCACCCTCCTCACAAGTATTAGCAACTTCCTCATTTACTTTCTTGATTCTTGTCAACTTTTCCATACACTCATCAGCCTCAACATTCTTCACTTCCGATTTGCCGTGCCCCAAATCCACCCATTTACTCTCTAAGGTTCGATAGCAAGCAGCCATGGAATCAACCTTGCTTTCCACGTCGTCGAGACGATTTCCCATTCCATTTAACCGGGCATTTATAGCATCAAGTCCATCTTTCATCTGCTTTTCCATTTTCTTCAACTGCCAATAAACATGATCAGAAGCATCACTCTTCTTCTTGCCTCCACTACACAAATCACCGGCCACTATTGGCTCAGCAGCATCCGGATTCTTCTTATTTTGGCCATCATTGACAGAAAACTCGACCTTTTTTATTTTTAGCATACCCAGGCCCAAAGCACGAGCAGGCAAGGGCTGCATATCCGTGTTATATGGATCAAACACGCCCGAATGAACGGCAATTGCAGTAATAAAGTTGCCGAGGCACAATTTGACCCTCGACCCGCGTGCAACTACCGACTTAAAAGCAGCGAGCAGAAAGCTTGGGGTGCACACGCGCTCCTCACCTCTGACGCACCATAAGTAGAACAGATCCTTCTCGGAGGTCCAATCAGAGCCGCTTTTCCCAAAAACGGCCAGCGAGACGAAGCTGT